CCCAGAGACTTGGTGACCTAAATACTGTGAATAAATGTATTGTTTGTAGTTTTTGATTGCATGTTCAAACTAAACAACGATTTAGATTGTACATTGCTGTACTATTTCGTGGACCAGGATTACTCTAATCAAGCAATTGCTATTGTAAAGATGGTCTAACAAGTAACAAGATAATATAATGCCGCCGTACTGTGTTATATGTTTGTATGGACAGGTCAGGATTGATTTAAACTTCGTTCTTGTGCGAGTCTGGAGAGTTCAAAATATTGTTTTGAATAATGTCTGCATTACGTCAGCATATGTTAATAAACTGATAATCGAATAACAATACGTCAGTATATGTTAATGAGCTGTAATAATCGAACAAAAGCAAACATTTCTTAGTGAGTTGAACAAAAAAAAAACATGTCACTTGGTAAAGGTGACAGCGCCCTCTACAATAAATCACGTGAAGGTGAATTTAAAACCCTCAATTTGAAAAATAAATATTATATCCTTTGTTTATTTAGCGATTTCTCATATCTGTATACTTTTGAAGAATTATCCCATACGATGATTCATGTTCTAAAAATACTAAGGTCACAAAAAAAGGTGTGTTACACATACTAGTACCATGGATGGTGACTATTGGGATTTTAGAGATGCCTGTGTATGCGGGTACATATTTGTATAATTTGTCTATTTCGGTATTTTTTAGTATTGCTGAATGCCTATTTGTTGCGAAATGACATTGAGTTGTTTAGTTGTGATCAGCAGTAACGATGCGGGATTAACAAATTATATATATATATATATATATATATATTTGAATAATTGATTTGTAATTTCAATATGGCTACCATTTATTCTGTCCTGTGTGTTGACAGGAAACTACACCATATACGTATTGGCGATATTATGTACATTGGTGCACTAAATTATCTTTAGTTTGAAAAGATTTGCCTGTCAAAATGTTATGTAAATACAAATTATTAATTTCAAGATGTTTTGTAAACAAACTGCAGACAGTAAGTATACATTATTTTATTTTTAGTATGCCTGCCTGTTCAATTTGATTTTTGTGATAAATAAAAGCATGTAACGGGTGGTAACGACATGGGTACATGATTGTGTAATTGTATAGTTATTTTGTAAACAAACTGCACCATACGATGGCGGGAGATGGTTATTTCGTTAATTTCAGTGTAGGAAGAAGACGCACCAACACGATTTATTTCAAACGAAAGCGATGGTTATCACGCTCATAATATTTCTGATGTCAAAATCGAAAGGGAGAGCGTCGTCGATGTTGTGGCCACGAATACCAGCTCGAGGGCAGACAGCAAATATATAATACATTATTTAATTTAAAATTTTTACTTACATTGCTCGCTGAATATTTTATATATTAAATAACTTTCAGTAGAGAGTGATACAAGCAGGTATTGATTAGTAAATATAAAATTATAAATTTGAAAGCGTAGGTTTGCGAACCACTCGCCGGAGAAACATTTTTGCATGCCGTTGTTTTCTTTTTCAAAGTGACTGAATCTGAATTCACACGTCCGTTAGCTTAGATCTGTGATTGATACGATGTGGCGGAATAATGAGAGAATATCAATATCGTACTAAATATATTCATACAAATTACACCCGAACTAGTTATTTTGTTTAAATGATAGATAGAGTATAATCTAATAATGCGTGCTGTGTATAATCCGTGAATGTATAACAATTGCGTGTTGTAAATGCGTATATACGGTTGAAACAAACGTCTATACACTGCCTTGTTGCATGGAAGCCACATCGACCAGGCCACGGTTAGTTCCAAATTGTATTTCAATATTGAATTACACGAATAATTGAATTGAATGTTTTATGTCTATATGCTTTCCCAGGTATTACTATCCAAATTGTGGGACCGTCAGATACTACGGTTGTAGATGGCGAAGACGCTACACTAGATTGTATTATCACTGATATTGTCTCACCATATGCTGGCGCATGGTCAGTAGTTACTGAACCACCACTACGCTTATTTACAATAGACGATACAGGTAGTTGGTCTACAGCTCTGATTATGACGATGTTATACATGATGGTTGGACTATTATCACATCAAGGACAAATCATTTCGATTTGAAGATTCCAAATGTTAATGTTGAAGACGAAGGAACATACAATTGTGGCTCCACCTTAGAGTCTCCGGGAACTGTACCAGGACATTATGCTGTACTGGGCATAACAGGTAAGAACACATATCTTGTACTACATTGGAGACTCCAAGAACTGTGTTAGGATATTATGCTGCACTAACAGTTCCGGGTAACAACACGTAGCTTATACC